GCCACTTGTCTGCATCTTTTCCATCAAAGGGCACCACTTTTCCAGTCAGCTTTGAGCTCATAGCTCGTCCTGTGCAGTTCATCAGAGAAATAACATTCTTTGAAATAAAAGTTGGGATATTGTTTGGGGATTTTGTTTCCCTGATTTGGCCCTGTAAATGCAAAGTGGTTTGCACTGCTAGACTGTGGTTTCACCTAGTTGCAAGTAGCTCCATGGTCCTCCATTTGCTTGGGAAGAGTGTGGAATTGCAGATAGCTATCTATGCCTCACTCTTTTTACTCTTTGGAATACTAATTACAAAAATCTGATCATGCTTCCTTTCCTGTAGAGGAAACAGGAACAGAAAGCTCCCGATAAGGACGCTATTCTCAAAGCAACAGCAAATCTGCCTTCTCGCAGCGTGGATCGCACGGTGGCCCACCACAACATGAGGGATGTAAGTATGGAGTTTCATGTTTAAGTTGCATGTTAAATCTAGAGTTCTGCCACAGGAACAGGATTAGCTCACCTTCACTAAAACTTGAAATGGATGGCAAGTGTAGGGCCTGCATCTCTGTTCAAAAATAATATTTTTAAAGGTTTCATTCTTCTTATACCAATAGCTTGGATGATTTAAAACTGCACTGGAAAGATAGCATTGATCTTGCCCCTGTTTCTTTTTACTTTTCGCGTTTCTCTTACAGGGAGATAAGACTCCTAGGGTGCCTGTACATGAGCAGTGAGGCTGCTCCAGTGCACTGTAATTTAATCCAGTTTGCTAGAGCATGGTAATTACTGCGCTACAGCAGACTCCAGCATCTTGTGTATCAGCATAACAGTGGGGCGCTTTAACTAAAGTTCGTCGAATGAGCTGTAGTTAAAGCAACCCTGCCACTATTTTTAGGCGCGGGGATGCTGATACATGAGACGCTCCGGGCGCTTTAATTATAGGGGCTCTTGGATCTGCTCTAATTAAAGCATCCACCCCACCCCCCCTCAACTCGCAGAGCACGCGTGTAAATGCCCCCAGTTTTCACTTTCAGGGTCTAATGTACTAGCATAATATTATTCAGCTGGAATTCAAAATTCTTTGGGGTAATGATTTTTTTTTTTTTTTTTAAGAAGTGTTAGATCTATGCTCCCTCGCTTCATACATGCTTAATCTGAAACTGACCTCTGAATGTGGAAAATGTTTGCATGTTTTGTTCTGTTGTCCCACAAAGAAATTAAAAATGACTGTCTCTTCATGTCTCCGTCTATATTTATAAGAAGATTTGAACTGAAAGTCCAGTGTAGATGCAAACTGTGTTCCCCACAGATATTTTTTTATTCCTGTATTTTTGGTTATACTTCATATTAAGATCAATAATGTTAAACAGTTATTTGTTTGATGGGTCGCTCAGCTGCTTAGAACAATCTGTAATGCTTTGTGCTGATATAAGCGTAACATCTATTGATCAGTTAGTAAATACATTGCCTGCATCTTGATGATGTTGGTTGGCTGAGCCAGGTTTTTTGTTCTTTTTGTTATTGGTGTTCAAGTCTCTCTTTTTCAGAGCTCTAAGATTCCAGTGCCTTGTCTTCAACGGAAAGGAAGCATTGCTTCATGTTTCATGTGCTTGACATAGGAGAGCCTCTATCTGCATCTTCCTTGTTTGGGGCACTTAATACAAAGCTGGATAAAGTACTAGTACAGGGAGTAATTTTGCCCAAGGCAGAGCAAAGATGGGGTGGCATGAAGGAAGCTTATGCAGCTGTCATCTCTGCTGTACCTGTTCTGAGAATGCATATGCTGTAAAATAATTCAATAAAATATTGAAGCTTAAAAAATCAAATATGTCTTTACCATAGTCTATTAATGAAATGAAGATAGAATGTGTAACAAAGCATGTTTAGTGACCAATTCAATCGGTCGCTTATGAGATGTTCTAAAAGAAAAAATCTCTGTAGGAGGGGGAAGTCCTGACCCATCAATATGGGCATGTGTTTCACAAGAAGCAAGCATTTCTTGGGCTGCTTGTACTTGGAAGAAAGGGGTGCTAATCAAAAGAACTTATTTCAATAGGAGTAGGGGTTCCACTTCTAAAAAGAGCTTCCTAGCATCTCTGCAAAGCCTGCTTGATTGTCTGTATCCCCCCTCCCCCTCTCTTAAAGAAGCCCTTGCAGTGTTGGGGCCTCTACCTGTGAAGAAACAAGCTTTCTCAGTTAGTATCATTTTCTTTTATGGAAGGAAAAGCAATACAAGAAATCAAGCTTTCAGCGAGGCATTTCTTGTCCTGTGTACCACTGCACAGGAAACATGCCAGTGTTTTTTTTGTAGGAGAAACACAATGAAAAGCAAAGCCATAATGAAACAACCTTCTCCACAGGGGGGCAAGGGCATAGCACAGATGCTCTAACAATAGACGTATTAAGAGAAGATGACTGTTGGTAGCTTCCTGTATAAATGTTTTGATGGTTTCTTTTCCTGCAGTTCCAGACAGAGCTCCGGAAAATCTTGGTTTCACTGATAGAAGTTGCACAAAAATTGCTAGCACTGAACCCAGATGCAGTTGAGCTATTTAAGAAGGCAAATGGTATGAACATATCCCTACTGTGTTTTATGAAGCAGGCCTTGTAAAAAGTATTCAAAGACATGTTTGCCCATGTTATTGAAAGCATGTAGCCATATCTCACAAATTATGCAGGTTTGGGATGGGATCATTGGGACTCATCTGGGGCCTCCCCATTGACAAAGAAAGTACTGTTGCATGTTGAAATAATACTTAATCACAAGACATCAGTGGTGAGGCTTGCGTGTAATGACACAAAGTCTTGCTCCTAGTTAAATAGACCTGCCCAGGTAGCAAGGAAGTCTTTTCACCATGGCTTGCAACATGAAAAGCTGTTGTAGCCAAAGCTTCAATGAAAGTGTAGGCGAGCAATCCAGCATTGGCAGAGAGCTTTGGAAAAGCTCTTTCTCTGTCTCTGACTCGATATGTTTGAGATGAGAAAATCAATGCTTTTAACTTAACAAATGTGGTCTTGGATGGAGCAGGCTGGGAGCTGTAACGTGACCATGTTGTTGTTCGTAGCCATGTTGGATGAGGATGAGGAAGACCGAGTGGATGAAATAGCCCTGCGACAGCTCACAGAAATGGGGTTTCCCGAGACTCGAGCCGTCAAAGCCCTTCGTCTAAATCAGTAAGTATGCCCAGCAAACTACCAGGTTGGCAATTATTGAGGCTACCCGTGAACGTTATTACTTGGTGTATTTTCTGTAAACAAACAAACCCGATCTTTATTTGAACCACCTAAAACAAGACTGGATGAAGCACTAGTGCATGGAACAGTCCTATCCAAGGTAGAGTACAGGGGATGGTGTGAAGAAAGCTTGCGCTGCTGTTTTATGTGCCATACGTGTGCTGAGAATATGGCCTGCAGGCTGTCAGTCTGAAGCTGTTTACAAGTATTGAACTCTCACTTTAGAAACCCCTTACTTTCTAAAGAAGAAAAAAAATCTAACCCATTTTTAGAGCAGCTTTAGACTTCTTATTGATTTCTAAAGAAGTTTTTTTTTTATATCCAGATAGAAGTATTGAGGGCTGTTCTCTTCTTCTGTGGTTACATAACTTTTATATGGTTGTACTAATCCAGTGTTTGATTTTTTTTTTCCCCTTTTCTCTTCTCTTCTTTTCTTTTTCCCTACCATTTGTCTCCATTTTCCCCTGCCCCGAATTTGTCTCTCACCCAAGCTTCACCTGTTTTACAGCAGATCATGCAGATGTTAAAACTATGATCAGAGTGCTCTGCTGGTCTTGTCAGGAGTGGCTTTTTTTTCTTTTCAACTAGGTTCACGTGCAGATTTAGGCTCTGTTCAAGATGTGGGTGCCCTGCCCTTGTTCCAGTGCTCACATGGGCTCTGTGATCCAGACTTTGGGAAGGAAAGGTGGACCTTGATAAAGTACTAGCTCCTTGTTATACCAAAGTGAGCTATCACTCCCAGTAAACCGTGCATCTGGAAAATATTCATCTCTGTCCTTTCTTATTTCTTTTGATCAGAAGTAAAATAGGTAATAACACTGACACTTAACCATGATCATGTCTGGGTATCAGAATTAACTCTGAGCTATGGTTTCAGGTTCTGCACCAACTTGGATAGATGTTTATTTTCTTTGCCATATTAGGGTTTTCTCTACAAATCCAAACTCTAGAGAGTGACTTTCTCTATGACACTGAGGTTTCACAATGACGCTGAGGTTCTTTCACTCCCTCAAAAATGCATTTGAAAGCACTAGGTTAACCTTGACTTTTCCCCTACTCAGCAACTTTCAGGCCCTTCGCTGTAGCCCCAATAGAGGCTTCCTTTGGTATCCATTATATTTCAGAAAGGTAGAGTCTGAGAAATTGCACCAAAGTTATTTTGTAACCAAATGAGAGGAGAACCTCAAGGAAGGACACTCATATTTTGGGATTTCGCTGATATTACCAGTTGGCAAATCTGAAAGTTTCAGGAGGAAAAGCCAAAGGTTCTGTCAGCCGGATGGTTCTTTACTTGTTGAGCTTTGCTGACTCTTCGTGTTTCTGTTAATTTTGCCTTAGTATGTCAGTAACACAGGCAATGGAGTGGCTGATCGAACACGCAGAGGACCCCATGGTTGATGCACCACTTCCCGGTCAGACCTCCTCAGAAGCTGCAGCTGCAGCTGAAGCAGGCGCTTCGTCTGCCGAAGCAAGTGCTGGGCCTAGTTCAGAAACCGGTGGTGAAGAGGCCAAGGATGAGCTGACAGAAATATTCAAGAAGATCCGCAGGAAAAGAGAATTTCGTCCTGACCCACGAGTATGTATTTAACTCTCTTACCTCTCTGCATAACAAGAATATTACAGCAACAGCAAGGTTCAGATAAGGCACTGTGCATCTTGCAGGGCCTAGTATATATTCTGCTGCTCTGGCACAGTTCTGGTGTCTCTGAAACAGAAGATACTGGGGTCTGCTAGAAGACCATCAAACTATCTGAAGCCATACAACTGTGCTCCAGTACTTAAATGTCGATGCATTGAACGTAGGACATTGTGCCTGATACCTTTTGAATCTCCTAGCACAGACTTCTGTAACTGTTCTGCTCTATTCACTGAAGCTGGAGGAAAGATTGTAGTTATATGTATTGGTGAAGAAGGGTCATAGGATATGTGTTACAGTGTCTTGAAGACTCCAGCTGTGCAAATTAACAAAATAGCAGTAAGGTGTAATCTTGAGATGCTTGCAAAAGTAATAGGAAAACTGCTGTTTAACAGAGGTCAGTGAAACAGTTTAAAAAAAGAAGAAAGAAAGCTGATCCCTATTCAAAGCTATTTATCATAGGGGGAAAAATGTGCAGATGTGTGTGATAATTTCCCCTTAAATGCAGTAAAAGGTGCTCTTCAGGATTCTGCTTTTACCACTAAAGCAGGAATATCCAGTTCCACTCTTGCAGCTTAAGCAGGAATCCAGCCCAATTTACTAGCTGATGAGACGGGTGTGAAAATTACTCATCACTGAAAATGAGACTTTTAAAAAATTTACGTGTGTGCATCTAAATGTGTAATTTTCACAGCTGTGTAACACATCTAAGGAGAAGAGTAGGTGCACTTATTATCTGTCTGACCTTGGCAAGTTGTCCTGCTCAAGGCAAGTTGAATAAAACATCACACATATGGGCTGAAGGGAATAGTAAAGCTAAGTACCAGACTGGAAGCTTTCTCATAATTTGCATAGGTTGGAAGCAAAGGGCTCAGTGCTATTCTTTTGATAGGTTTGCACTGCACTGCACAGTATATGGCTGGTACCTGAGCTAGTGGTAGTGCCACATTAGCACAGAGCAACTCTCAGACCTTCTTCTAAGAAGTGGAGTAAATTAGCCTGAGCGGAGGTTTGTGTAACCATGACTCCTGCTTCTGGTACCCGAGCAAAGTTTTATTCAGAGGTGTCTTGGACATCTGTGTGCAGCACTGCACAGGGTATCAACATCTTTGGTTGATCCTGAGTAATGAGTTAACTCTAGATTGTCCACTGTAGTTGAACAGAATTAGGTCTGCAGGATCCAAACAGTGCTCTCTGCTTCCCTTACAAATCTGTAGTTGTTCACAGGGTTTTGTCTCTCCTTCCCTGTTTCCCAAAGCACTTCAGATTAAGGTTGAAGGGTTCTCATTCCTCTGATCAGTGTTCTAAATTGTATTATAGATAGCCAACCTTTTTGAAGAGATCAGGCTAAATACACTTGTTTGCTGTTTTACAATCTGTTTTAAATGTACCCACCAATTAGCGGATTGCACATATACTGAGGATTACTTATCACTAAGTAATCTGGATCCACCCTGTTTAAATGGTTTACTTTCTATGGTTTAAGGAAGGTTATCGCTGTGTAATATCTCTATTTTGTACATCACAAAAAAAATCCAGTAGTAGCAGTGCTGTGGGGGGGCAACCTCCCTGGGTGCTGAAGCAAAGGGGCCCCAACAGGTGCTGCTCAGCTGGGGTGGGGCGTGGGGCAGAGCCGCAAACAGCTCGTTTGGGGACAAGGAAAAGTGGCTCCCGCCAAGGCTGCCGCTGTGGGCTTTGCCCTGGGTGCCAAACTTCATTGCTGTGCCACTGAGTAGTAGGAAGTGGACTAGATTCAGATTAATGTGAAACAGATTTGGAATTGCTGTTTGGGCAGCACCATAAATATGTGGAGTATTTGGCTTCAAACCACAACTGAGAGGAAGCTCCTTTAAAGGTAGTGGGGTGAAGGTCAATAGGAGCCATGATATCACCCTTTGAATAGAACGATGGGCTTCCTACCAAAGTAGATGCATCCTGTAGCTCAGTCTCATGAGGGAGGTGTTCACAGTACAGGTACCTCTGCTTTTCCTAGTCTGTTTGTCTTTCCAGCATATACATAACTATCCAATCCCTAGAAACCGAGTAAAGGATAACAATGTCTGGAGAGGATTATGGAAGATGAGAAGTGACTGCTGCAAACTGGAGCTGCCTTTGTCATAGTGTCAATGCATGTTTTGAATCTGAAAGTGGCTGTCAAGATCTGTATAGCTATACAGGCGCAGCCCCTCTGAAATCAAGGGTGTGGGGCTGAACCTGTGGGTCTATACTAAGTAATGAGGGAGAGTGAAGCATGTACTTTCTGTTTGCAGGCACATACAAAATGAGTGCCAAAAGTGGATGCTTAAATTAAAACAATCTGTCCTCCTAGACATGTTCTTTAAGCTTTAACTTTCCTACGAGATAGTATCTTGCTTTCCTGTGAGTCCCAAGTCTCTTAGCTATCACTGTGCACAGAATAAAATGAGTGCCATGGCTCATATATTGCACGTGTTGCAGTAACTGAACCCCTAACAGATTTAATTGAAAATAAGGCATCTGATATTGCCCTCTTACGGGTAATTAAGGTGAGGAGCAAGGAAAGAAGTAGTGTTGAGAAGAGTTCCCACCCCCTACCCCAAACATGTTTTTTGTAGGGATTACTAGAGGCAAGTTCTTTTATAAGACATTTTGCTTCCTTATAGGTAAATTTTTTTTATTGGTGTTTTTACATTTGCCAAACTGCTGTGTCAATGCTATACTGTGAATACCTTTGTCAACAAGGTCTCTATCACATCACTCCCAGACCAAGAGCTTTATCTTGTAATGGGTGAATATTGCAAACTTTAATTCAACTTCGTCATGTAATTCCTATGTAATAAGTGGTTTATGTACAATCATAACAGGGCCATCTGATGCCATTTAAGAAGCAACTTGAGTATAAATTAATCCCCCAATATTCAGCATTGTCTGATGGTGCATTAGCAACTTCTTTTCTGAGCTCAGAGAGAAGACCCAGTCCTGAAGATGAATAGAAAGTGCTTTCTAAAGTAGCTAGCCTTAAATTATAAAGGAACTTTTTATAAAATAATTCTGTTTAGGAAGAGTGCCCTAATAACTGAATGACTGTATAAACACAGAGTTGTTTAAATTTGTCAAGCCCTGATGGAACTGGAACAATATGTCAGAAAATGGACTGAATAAAGGAAATTTGGACATTTAATTTAAAAACATGTTCTGAGAATTTTCTGCTACAGAGACCAAAGCAGTATGAGCACCAAGCTGCAAAAAAAAAAATCCAACTTTTCCTGCATATGTGTAGGAGGGTTGGAGAGTAGAGGTAGCCATAGCAGATAGTGGTTTCAGCTGCCAAAAGAATCCCACAATAGTGCTGGGCCAATGAAAGGATGGCTGCACCTGGCACACAGCTTGGGAGATGCTCCTGCCATCTTCAGTAAGACCGTAGAAGGACCCTTCCTGTAAACTGCATGACACACAGCAGAATCTTCTTTCTTCCTTTAGGTTGTTGAACAAGGTTCTTTAGGTAAATCTGATACCTTTTATTAGACCAACTCAAATAGTTGGGAAAAAAATGTCTTTGCAAGCTTTTGGTTACAAGTACCCTTCATCTGGCTGAGGAAGGTCTGTTGTTAAGTGCTCACCATAGCTCAACCTCTTCATCTCTGAAAACAAGCAAGCAATGGGCAACAATAGGCGAATAAAAGAAAGCCCGGAGCAGTAAGGAAAAACAGCATTCCATTTCCTCTCGCCCAAATTGAAACACTATTGTAATTTAAGATGTGAATAGCTTCTAATAAACGCCACATTGCTGGGACCATAGACTGACCAAGAGAGACAAGCTAAAGTTAATTAACATTGGTAGCAGGATTTAATTCAATTTTAGGATTCTTAATGTTTAATAACTGGTCAGTCTCAAGACTGACCAGTTAGTAAACATTAAGAATCCTAAAACTGAATTAAATCCCACTACCAGTCTTGATTCACATTACCTTGTCTCAAGACTGCTCATAAAATGGCTTCTTTTTAATAACTATTTAAAGTACTTCTTGATTTTTAAGACTAGCTGAATGTGAGCACTCTTAACTATTTACCAAGTGTTCACTTCATCCAAAATGGAGTGAACAGGACTTGCTGACTGCTAACAAAATTACTTTAGCTGTCGAGAAACTATTTAGGTTATCTACGATATGCAGACCCAAGGTATAACTTACCTGGGTTTTAACTTACCTAGAGAAGAGTGTTCCTAACAAAGGGTCAGGTGCTCTCACAGGTGTTATCTTTGTTGAAAGCTCTTCAAAGAGACTGACATACGCTTGGTAACTGAAGATAGCCATTGTTTTGGGCTGTTTTTGATGCTGTTTTCCTTTCTTTTATTAATAAAAATCATCATAGCAACTAATTGTGGTTATTGTGCTTATCTTTGGCTCTGGTTTCCAGGACAGCAAGGTAAAGAACCTCACATAACTGAAGTGCCAGGAGTCACAGCCTTGAATTGGCACGGAAAGAAGCAATTAGGATTTAGTCTCCTGCTGCTGCTGCTTGACTACAGCTTTGGTATTTTGGGGGATAACATAAACTGCTGCTTGACAGCTTGACACACCCCTTTCTGTCCCACCAAAAGGCCCTGTATTGAAGACAATAGGATGTGTTCCTGCATGTGTTGTGGCTGCTATAGACCAAGTTAAATGTTGCGTGTAATGAGCTGTGTCATTCTGATTTAGGCCGTCATTGCCCTGATGGAGATGGGATTTGATGAAAAAGAGGTGATAGACGCACTCAGAGTAAACAACAACCAGCAAAATGCAGCTGTGAGTTCGCTGTCATTTTTATTCCATATTGTCTTCTGAGTTGAGAATTTTGGTCGTCAGCCTGGATGATGCTTTGGTCACTTCAGTCCAAACTCTGTTAAACTGTTTTGCTACTAATAGACCAGTCCCCATGTTGACTGATGTTGAAGCAAATGTTGCTTAATACTAGGCACCCTTCTAGCTAGATGAAACCACTGTGGAAAGTAGCCACTTCTGGGGTGGACGATGGCAGCCAACCAATGTCTAGCATGAAGGGAATGGTTTCCACATGAGAATTGTTGAGATGAAGAATTTTGGTCAGGGATATGTGTTTGGTTTTTTTTAGGCCCTCCTCTGAAAGCTGTGCACAGTGAACAGCAGGACCCCATAGAGTATATGCTGCCTAATAGAGAAGGCCTGAGTTAAGATAGCCACTCCTGAAAGTTGAATCAGTGAGTGCCCCTTCATATTCAGTCTGGGAAATCCTGGAGTTTTGGTATAGGAGACTGACTGTTCTGGAGCAAGCAGCAGGCCCGCAGGCTGACTTGTATAGAGACACCTCACCTGCTTTTTTTTTTTTTTAAATCCATGTGCCTGGTGCATTTTGTTGCTGTCTCAGATGTTTTATAGATATGCTTCAAGTGGCTGGGGGAAGGGTGCTTTAAGTGGAGTGACTCTAAATAAAGTGCCCGGAGCATCACGTGTATCAGCGTCCCCATGCTGAAAAATGGTGGCAGGGGCACTTTAACTAAAGCCACCATTTCTCGGTGCGGGGATGCTGATACACGACACTGGAGTCTGCTGGAGTGCAGCAATTACCATGCTCCAGCAGACTCAATTAATTGAGTCTGCTCCAATGCATTGTAATTAGAGTGCATCACAGCAGCCTCTCTACATGTATATAGGTGCCCTCAGGTGCTAGACCTACACCTAGTGACATGCAGGACTTCTGCAGTTGCCTTCAATGGGAGCAGCATCCCGATGAATAATAGCTGATGTGTTTAATACATGCGGTTCAGTCTTTCAAGCCGTACACAGGGAGAAGTTATTTGTCTGGAATGTCCTAACTTACGCCTTATTTATCTGAGAGATTGGATGTGTTACCAACTTGCATTTTAATAGAACTGTTCCTAACCTTGTCATGCCTGCTGCTTTTTTGGTTTTTTTAACAGTGTGAATGGCTGCTGGGAGACAGAAAGCCCTCTCCAGAGGATTTAGATAAGGGAATCGACACCAACAGCCCTCTCTTCCAAGCCATCCTAGAAAACCCAGTGGTACAGTTAGGACTAACAAACCCTAAAACGCTATTAGGTAAGTATGTCATGGGCTTCTGGCAAAGAAGCGTCACCTTTGCAGTAGGTAACAAATGCAAAGTACTACAACTGTAATGCAGTTAGCAATATGGATGCTGCTACTGTTTCCCCTTTAGTCAGACTGAAGGCTTGTTTTTTGCTGCTGTGTATTGCTCTGTGGGCCTTTATAGGCTTGAACACTTGTGAGACTACCACAAATGTGACCCTGAATTCCAGGGCAATTGCTGCTACCTGGAACACCCTGAAGCCCCTGGGTATTCATGAGGATCTGAGAGACCCCTCTCCACATTTTGGCAGGAAAATTGGAGACCTGTGCTTGAAATCTCCAGTTCCTTGTCTGCAAATAGTGGGCAAGAGAGAGCATGCTGCAGTACAATTGCTGCATAACTCCCTGCTGAGTGGGCAGCAGTTGCCTGAATTTAACCAAATTGAAAGCTGTGAGCTAAAGCCTTGTCCTGCCAAGGCTGAAATATTAGCTCTGGACACATGCTGTCCTCTTCTTGGAGTTTTGCCCTGTAGTGCCTCTCTTTTCTTGGTCAAAAAGACTGTGCCAAGGAAAGGTACACAGTCGACGAGCCCAAAAGAGAATGAGATGCAAATCTGTGGTTGATGGGTCACTAGGGAAACTTCTCACAGGGAGATAATACTGAGGGAAATCTTACTTTTCATGCTGCATAGAAATGGCGTGCTTATTCTTTAGCCTCAGTGTTGCCTGGGCTTTTTAGGTAAGGGAATGCTTTTAAAGAAAGATTGCCTCCCTATTGCTTTATGATAAAGCTTTTGATAATACCTACATTGATTAAAATGCTGACTTTACCAATCGCATTTAAACAGGACCAGAACCTGCCCACCCTGATCTCCAAACAAATAGTCCCTTTATTTCAGAGCAGTCACACACTACAGCTCAGGGTATAAAAATAGAAAATGAGATGTCATTGTATACATGTCCAAAGCTTGGATGAGAACTGGAGCATATTACTTTAAATGATACATTGGCAAATTGCTAGTGTCTCTGATTTTGGTAATAAATAGTTTCATTTAATTAGAAAATCATTAATCATAGTAGAATGATAAATCTGTAGTCCTGCAGAGTGCAATCTCTTGTCCTCCCCCAAAAGTGTAGTCAGGTTTCAAAGTATGAGATCTGTATTTTATTCTCAGCTCTGCCAGAGACCTGTGACCTTGAACAAAGTATTTATGCCTTTCAGAGGTGCTGGGTATTCATGGCTTCGATTGCCTGTAGTGCCTGTTCCATAGGGTGTAAGACCCTGCTCTCCTGATAAAGGGGCTGTGTAAAGAGATTTTTTTCAGAGATGCAATCCCCCCCACCCCCTCCAGCAGACAGCATCCAGGGCTGACCTGTGGGAGACAGTAATCGAGGCTCTTTAACATGCTGTTTCCAGTTGAAGAGGCAACCTGGTGAAGATACAACTGCAGGTGGCGTTCCCATGTATATAAAACATTTGGGGAGGAGCACAAAATATCTAGGGTATGCTCGTTCTTAGTTTTGACCGAATTGTGATGGCAACTCTCTGATCGCTTCCACAGTAATTAAAACCAACTCCCCTTACGTAAAACATCCTAAATACTCAGTCATCCTTAGCTAAATTTTACTTCTTCCTTCTCTTGGCAGCCTTTGAAGACATGCTTGAAAACCCCTTAAACAGCACTCAGTGGATGAATGATCCAGAAACTGGGCCTGTCATGCTACAGATCTCTCGAATCTTCCAGACGCTGAACCCTGTGCCACTTCTACTGTCCCTCGCTTTGCGTGTCCTGGACAAGAGGGAACATAGATTTTTTTGGGGGGGGGTGGAGAGGGTGGGGAGAAGGAAGCGGGGTAGCTTATCTGGACAGACATCTCTCCAGTGAGCACATGTGTAGTTATGGCCAAGCTGAAGTTAATTGCCTTGTGGGCTTAGTGTTAGGAGAAAAGGTTTGAAGACTTGTTTGAGATTTTTTTTTTTCTTTTTTTTGCTTTCAGGTGTTAGGTTGAAAATAAAATATCTATCCAAATATAGAAAAAGGCTTTGAAAACAATGAAGCATATGATCATTGGAGAAAGTGATATGATGACATTGCTCATGTTTCAATCTTCCTTGTAAAAGGCCTGTGACAGTAGTTTTACTAGCCGGCAGTTGTAGCATCTGGCTAGTGTTTACAAAAGGTCACTGACCACTAGCATAGGGTAGGAATCATCTTGATACAGTGTTAATTTATATCAATATCAAAATGCAAAGTGCTTTTTAAATCAACACATAGGAAATTTATTTTTTACAGAAGTCCAAATATTGAGAGAGCACATTTCTATCCAAGCTTGTTAGTCCTGCATTCTGATTTAAACAGAATAAGTCAAAGATGGCATTTCTTTAATAAGTAGCGTTCCTTTTTCCCTATTTATTATTTCTGCCTTAGTGGTGTTCCAGTCCTACAGGGCTTGTGCTTTGGCAGGAGACTTACTCAAGTCGATTAAAGATGCAGTATCTCTCTTCTTTCACAAAACATAACTTGCTACACCAGTGCTTGGATTCTCTTGAAGCATCAGTTCATAGGTTAGTCCTGGTTTAACGTATCCTGGGTTGAGGATGCATCCTCACGTCATTTATTTTCCTTGTCTGAGAATGTCTCAGGAAAGGAAGCATTCTGTGCTGCTGATGTCTCGTTTTTCAGACTCTGCTTGCAAAAAGAAACTGGCTTGCTTGGGTTTTCACTGTAAGGTGGCCTCAAGTGAAAACTGAAGTTCTTAGGTTTGTGTTCCCTTGGCCTCTTTTATGTTGCATCAAGCACTTCTGAAATGTTTAGGCCTTTCCAAATAAGGTGTCGTCCCCCCACCCCCTGGTTCTTTTTTTCTTGTACGCCTCGGAAATTTCAAAAATGTCAAGCTCTGTCTTCCCTGGTTTTGTTGGAAGGCGTACTAGAAATCTCAGCCTGGATAGATGAGCTTTGTTAAGCTTCCAGTTTTTTAAAGCATGGGAGACCAAATCTTGCGTGCTCATTTCTTCCTCTGACAGTTTATGATGCATTTGAATTGTGTTTCAAAAAAGGCCAAATATTCTGATGAAGAAAGGCATCACGTTTCAGGCAAATGAAACTTGATTCTGTTATAAACCCTGCAGTTCTCCCCAAGAAATGTTTCATCTGGTCTTTCCGGCAAGATAGGGCCCTGCCTGGTTTCAATTAAGTGTGTGAAGAAAACAAATCTTTCACACTTTCTTTAAGCAGTGTAGTAGTGTGTGCCTCGGGGAGATTTCTCGAATAACTTTGCAGGTCACCTTTTAAAGCGATCGCTTACTGAAGGCAGCTAGCTTCAGTCCAAAAACACACAACAAGTTTTGGCCTGATCTTGGCATCCGTGCTGGAATAGTATGCAGCTGAGGTACTGACGTTGCCAGTTTCCCATAATTAGGGTGATGGGTGGGGAAGTTAAAATAGCTTAGATTTTATCTTGACTTACTATCCCAGTTTTTGTGATGTCCTATTAAGTTGGCTATACTTTAGAAAGCTGGTGAAGACTGCTAGTTTTAAAAATGAAAACTGAGACCTTTATAGAAATGTTGCCTGGCTTTTGATTTCCAAGTTTTTAAAAGCAACTTTTTTTCAGGACCTTTTTGCCCAGCATGTCCTCATCTTCCCCTCAGTCTAATTGACACTTTGGTTTGGGGTTCTACAAAGAAGCCTGGTCCTGCCACGTGGCTTCTCAGATTAGTCCCACTAGTTTTGATGCCACCACCTGTAAGTTATAGGTCATAACATACAACACATCCTAACAAGGGGCTTTGAAGGATATCAGTTGTTTCTTCCATCAGGACTTCCTTTCTTACCCCTGCGGTTATCCATTTGGACTCATACCCAGGAATGTTACTGTTTGAAGTTCTACACCCTTGAGTATCTGATGGGTATGGTTTTCCCTCCCCAGCGCTTTTGTAAATAATCCTTATAAACTGGATGGATCCACTGTCTTCTGACCTTTACTGGCTTCTCAGTTGACCATGACTTGTCCTTGCCTACAGCTCTAAATTTAATTGGACAAGCATTGAGACAGCAGCATAACCTGGAAAACATTAAGGTCCAATCAGGTTCCTATTAAAAGTAAGCATCCAAGTTCCTGTTGATTGCAAGGGCATATGTTCAGACTCTTAAGAATGACATGAAGTTCCACATACAGTTACCAGCTGCACAGTCTCCGCGCCATATATCTTTTTTTAACTCTTCATCTGGTGAGCAGAATATTTTACTCTTTGGAGTCCTTGAAACACTCCGCATTTTCCCCACAGCAGGGAATTGGTTAGGTCGCATGGTTTTGTCAGTGCCTGATACTGAACAGTATGCATCTTCTGCATTGGATTGATCTGGGTGACAGAAGTCAATCAAAACCACATCTTCTTTGTGTATAACAAATTCAGTACAACAGACTCTTTAAAAACAACTTTTTCTCCAACTGCAATTAGGAAAAAGACACTAATGTAATAAATGAAAATAAAAATGCCCTGCTTTTAATATTGAATAACTGCAGTTATAGTTAGAAACCTTATGATGAAAGGGATCCTGCATCTTTAAAATGCCTAAAAGCTTTAAGTATATATGATCAGTTTTAGAACTGGGTTTTTTTGAGCTGTACAGGTGACGTGTAGGAGGTAAAAAACTGGTTATTATAAAATATTCTCTCCTTGCAATGTCAAACAGCCTTGGTTGTTTGTTTTTTTTTGGTATCGCTTTTGAAAAAGATGCTGCTTATCTTTTAAGAACTTATGTTTCCAATGGCCAGTAGTTGGAACTAGCATGACATAACAAAGATGTAATGTTTTCCATCAAGGCTTAGGAGCGAATAACATCCTTGATGTACAATGCCACTTGAGGAATCAGTCATCTCAGCTCATTAATTTCACGTATTACTCATTCGTGCTGTACGCTGCCAATAACCATGAAGTTGAAAGTCCAAAGGCACGTGCTGTGAGTCATGTGGATTTCTACTCCAGCAAGGTTAATGTAACATACAGTGGCTGGGGAGAGATCCTCCTGTGCTTCATAAGACTGAAAGCCTAAAGGTCCCTGCATTGACTGTTAAGCTGGGATTCAGCATTAGCAGGGCCTGTTCTCCAGGTAATGTGTAGTGAGTGCACTGTCTAGGAACAATAGCCCTGTTCCATGGGTAAAGATTAAAGGGCTATGAGCTTTGTCCTGCAAAACAGTGGGCGGTCCTTAATGGTGCAAGTTAGATGCATTGTAAAAATGCAGTGGGATTACTTGTGTAAGGAAATGCTGCTCACAGAAGTAAGGATTTGTGCATCTCCTGAGGCCCCTGGCAGATGTTACACTTAAGATGCAATGAGTCTGTTAATCACATAGCAGATAGTAACCCAGCCACACATTCAAGCAGTTAATGGCACCACAGAAAGGGAAACCAGACACAAAAATATTACACAAAACTCTTAATGTTTTTGTGGCTGACTTTCCATCGTACCCTAAACTGAGCTTGTGGCCGGGTTAGCACTGCACCAGGGCCTTCAGCCAGCCCAGTGTGGTCCCTGCCCACTGATGATCACAGATCACTGATTGTTAGTTGGATCCAGGACCACACCAGGGCTTCAGGTGGCCCCAGAGTTGGTTCAAGGCATGGTGTGGTCCTGTCTCCAGTTGACAATCAGCTGATGGTCGGCCAGCTCCAGGGTCTGCACTAGGACCAGTTGGACCCCTGGTGCAGCCCTGGAGCCAGCTGACAATCAGCTAATTGTTGGGCACCCAGTTTTCAATTTGCTGGTGCAGGAGGAGCCCAGGATCTGATCCATGCCATGTGTGTGTGACATGGCAGGCAGCACAATTGTTGAGATCGGGGATCAGATCCCATTGTGCCTTTAAACGAACATCTGTCAGCAGCCTAAGTTTAAACTCAAGCTAACAGAGGGCTATGGCAGTGAATCCAGCACCACCACTGAAAGTGTCTCATTGCCTCATCAGAACTAGGTCAAGGGAAGAACTGGAAGATGGATGAAATCAAGGCAAAGTGAGGAAGTGGGGCAGGTAGGTGGGTTACCTGTTGCCGTATTGGCTCCTTGTTGGTCTTACACTAGGTCTATCCCTGCTCCATCAGTGGATACAGACAATCTCTTAACCTTTTGATATAATGTGACTCTCACAAGCTAGCTAGCTATTTATTTAAATATATATAATTTATAATTTTGTCATCACAAAGCTTTGATATTTTTAATAGAAATATATTATATGAAAGTTTGTTCTCAGGGCTTCATATTTATACTGTCTTTATAGGGGGGTACATTTAAGGGTGTATTTAAAAAAAAATTTAAAAAGCTAGTAGTTACTTTGCAATTTCAATGTTGGTTGGTCTTGACCTGTAAAACCAAACTAGCTCAATACCCCTAGTGAGGCTACAGTCATACGCAGGGCCAAGAATCTGCTTTTTCTCTTTCCCCAGAGTGTGGGTTTCCTTTGAGATTTGATGCCTTGCGAGGTAGAAATGACCATGCCAGAATACACAGCAGCTTTGCACCTCGTTGCTCTTTACACAGTTCCAAGGATGTTTCTGCCTTGTGCACAGAAGGAAATAGAAAACCAGTTCCCGCTGCTCTTAGCAGAGTAGCCTTTAGCCCTGCACTCCGCGCAAAGGGCAAGGTGAGCTGCCGCACAAGCTTTAAAACCTGCCAGCCGATTGCTCCACAATTAGCCATTTGCAGCCTGTCTGTCACAGTGTGACCCAGACCCTCCCAACCCTAGTTCTCATGGAGTTCTGAGAACAGCTCTTGGTATCTGAGAAATGCTTGAGGAGCCTAATCCTTTCCAGTTGGAGCAGTCACAACCTTCCCGGCCCTATTTTGAGAAGCTTTAGCTTTGTGCATTTCAAACTGTTCGATTTAGCGTGGCATTAAATGATGAATGCGTCGTAGAGCTGCATTGGCAGACCTCGCCTAGGAAGCAGGCAGTGAAATTGTTCCCTTTAACCTGAGTTTCAAATGGTGGTTTTCCAAAAGTAGTAGGCACGGG